ACAACACAGCACTGTACCAGCTACTAGGAAGAAAATTAACTCTATCCCAGCCAAAACCAGGACACCTGGAAAAGTGCCCTGGCCCATGACTGAATTTCATGAGCACGGTCTCAGTGTGAAGAATGATTAATTTCCTTTTACATGTACTTTGTCCCCTTTTTCTATCAACTGCATCTTTCCAAGAGGAACTGACTGAACTCCACAACTGTTTTGAGACCACTAAAAGCTGAAATTCTCATTTGTTGAGCATGACCTGAGAACCCAAGGTCAAACTCATAGCAATGGCAGCAAGACTTTCGGCCACAGCTAATTGAGAAAGATTTCCCAATTGTAATGTTATTTGTGGCTGGAGAGGTTCCTGGAATAGGAGATTTCTTAAGAGTTGAGGCTTTGTTCTACTAAGATGACATACATATAGATAGATAGATAGATGTGTATACACACACACACACAGACACAGAGTTTTGTCATGTTAAAGCAATGACAGGTGATTCATGATGCAACATTTTATGTAAGTGGTTTGTTAATTACCAGTCAGTGTGATAAAGGGATCTAGGACATGAGAACCTTTTACAGAGGTTATTGTCACATACCCTCTGCTGGTAAGTAACTCAGTATAAGCCAGTTGGTTTTGTTTATATTGAAATTTGATAAATCTCTTATTTTTAATTAAGTTTTAGTAACTAAATTAATTTTAAATTAAAATTAATTTATTTATGGCTGTAATAGACCTTATTTCACATAATACATGAAAGAGAATTAAAGTATGTATTCTATCATTATGTTAACATGGCATGTACTTTATGTAGCTGAAGTCTGGTTTTGATGGCTACCTAACAGTTTTCAAATTATTTTTATGCAGGGGTTTATATTGAAGAAGTCCTAAATAAATGGAAAGGAGACTATGAAAAACTGGAACATAACCACACTTACATACAGTGGTTGGTCACTTATTACCTATTTCTGTTTCAAAGCGTTAATTTGATTAAGTGTTCATATACTGTGAGCCGTAATGTGCTTTTTCTTTTAACAGGCTTTTCCCACTGAGGGAACAAGGTCTGAACTTCTATGCTAAAGAGTTAACTACATATGAAATTGAGGTAATACAAGTTGAGCTCAATACAAACCATCACATTAATTTTGATACATAACTGCTTTTTGTTATGTAGAGTTGTTTTATACAATGCAAAAGTACTTGCTTTAGTGCCACTTAGAATTTTGGACGTATTCTTTGTTTATTAGGAATTCAAGAAAACAAAAGAAGCAATTAGAAGATTCCTTTTGGCTTACAAAATGATGTTGGAGTTTTTTGGAATAAAACTAACTGATAAAACTGGAAACGTAGCACGAGCTGCTAACTGGCAAGAAAGATTTCAGCATTTGAATGAGTAAGTAATGACATGCACTCCACTCTCTAGAATTGCCATAGAATCTCTTTAGCCTTTTGTTTTCTAGAGAAAGGGAAGATATATTTTCCAAAGATTGCCAGGAAAAAGAGAGAAAGAAATAGTCAATGCCTGGTTTGTGTCTGTATGTGTACGTTCCTCCTTCCCCTTTATTTTATTGTGCTTCTCACCCATTACCAGTCTAACTGACATCATTGAATTCCCTGAAAATACAACTTCAGATGGTGCTGAAGAAGATCACGGTTCCAAATGAATTTATTTGTCATGCTACTGAATGCATTTTCACCTGATCCCAAAGCACTGCTGCTCAGTTGGAAAGAAGGAGTGGCTTATCTCTGTATTGACACCTCTTTTTGAGAAAAATCAAATTCTCCACACCAGTATGGAAGCTAAATAACAAGATTTCCCTCTCTCCTCAAAACATGAAGTATTATGTATTTAATACTTTTTAATTGCAATGCTTCACTGAAGAGGTTTAGACATGCATTAAGTCAAACTTTAGCCCAACTTTCAGCAAATTACATCTGTCGCTTTTCATCGGCATTGTGTGGAGCATAAGTTTGCACTGAATTTTGTCCCACGTGGATTGATTGTATCAAAATGTCTTTTCAAATCTTGCGATCACTTTCCTAATACCTCTGACCTTGGAGCTGAAGATTGTTTTCTTGCAGCATTTTGTTTTCCCGTCCAAATGAAATCTTGTAGGTAGAATTGCTGATGGATAATTTTGGGTGAATAATGGGAATAATTTGTTATTAATTTTACTTAAATATTATATGGGTGTGGGCTTAGACTCAGGCCACAGATAAAACAGGGTTCAGGAAGCCCAAATGTTACTCACTGCATGTTTTTACACTGTAATTCCTATATTCTCACCAGTGAGTAGCTACACAGTTTTAAGTCAGGAATTGGGATTCTTTTTACCTAATTTTAGTCATCTAAAATTTAGGCATTTAAGTTTTACTGTTTACTTAGGTGTTCTGATGTACAAACTAACATCAAAGCACTTCCAGAAGATAGTTCGTTCCCTTTATCTTAGACACTTCTTAGGACAGTGGGACTTGCTCTCCAGAGGTGCCTGTCTTTCTCCCAGCACTGACTCTATCAGAAGTGCAGGTAGCTAGCCTAGACTTAGTCTAGCTTAAGTGAAGTGCAATGAATCCTAGTCTGTAGCTGCATTACTGCAATACACTACAGATCCCATATTTTATAAAGTGTCTGGGTTTTCTCCTCAGAAAGAATACATACAGCAGAAGGAGTCAAAATCAGTACACACTTTGATTTTATTTTTTTTCAGCCTGTTGCCTCAGTGCATTTTACAGACACTAATTTTCATTCACAACATTCTAGCAAAGGAGGTGCTAGCAAGCTTCAGCATCTGTGAGAAATTAAAGTACAGGAAGCCTGAACTATACACCTGGAGTGATAAAATGGAGTGAGGAATTGCAGTTCCAGTTCTGTATCTGTAAGGTGGGTTTTTTCTGATTCAATGGAATTTTTTCACCCTTTTCTTCCAAAGGTCTCAACACAACTACTTGAGAATCACTCGAATTCTGAAAAGTCTTGGCGAGCTTGGATATGAGAGTTTCAAATCTCCCCTGGTAAAATTTATTCTCCATGAAGCTCTTGTGGAAGATACCATTCCCAACATTAAGCAAAGTGCTCTAGAATATTTTGTGTATACTATTAGAGACCGAAGAGAAAGGAGGAAACTCCTGAGATTTGCCCAGCAACATTATACACCCTCAGAGCATTTTATCTGGGGACCCCCAAGAAAACAGAAGTTGGAGGGAAGCAAAACAAATAAAAAGCCAGCATCTCCAATTTCTATTCACCATAGTTATATTTCTAAGCATAAGAAACCAAAAGAGCCTAAGAATACATCAGCAAGTGGAAGCTCAGCTGGTAAAACAACTGAAGAAAGAAAGGTAGAACTCACAAAAAACGGGGAAGAAAATGACCAGGACGAACAAGAAATGAACTGTGATGCTGTTAGGCAGAACAACGGTGAAAAGAACAGTGATACCGATACCGGTCAGCTTTCAAAATCGGAAGAAATTAATGATACTTCAGACAGAAAGGAGGATGCTTCTCATTCCAAAAAAGATGATGAAAATCTGAACAATGACTGTGGAAATCACCCAGGCACTACAGAGAAAGATTTATGTGACACTGAGAATTCTTCAAATAACACGTCAGTAGATCTACAGGATAACTTTGATAAGTTATCCTTAAAGCTTATCCTTTGATAAGCTTATCCTTTGATAAGCTTTCAGGGGGACCACCACAAAAAACAAGGATGAGCTCAAATTATGAGTCTGAGGTTAAAAATCATTATGTTTCATATTGAATGAAGCAAATTATTCATTACTCCTTCATTTTGGGTGAAATTTCCATCTAGTGTAGTATAAAATGTTCATCAGACTATGCTTGTTGCGAATGCATCAGATTAGGCTTCTGTTAGGTTAATGAATTTTATTTTTTTCAGCCTCAGTTTATCAGCAGTCAACCAGGTGTGGCTCTTTAAAACAATCGTGTATATTCAAAGCTAAGAAATTCATTATCTTTTCCAGACAGATTGCATAGAAAAGCTTATCTATTTTTTTGCCATTAAATTAATCCAGTATTTTTTAAAAAAAAAAAGTGTAACTTACTAGAAAGCCTTGGAACATCAGAATTCTTAAGTTTCTTTTACTATGCTTTAAGTGTTGATTTCCTTTTATGAAATGACTAGAAATTATTTCGAGAGCACAGTTTTTTCCCTAGTGGATATTTTTTTAGGAACTATGTTCATGTTTAATGGCAGTATTTGCACAGCATCTTTTACCTTAGATTAGCATCCTTGTGAGAGACACTTAGTAACGGATATCAAAATGTCCTATGCAGCTGGGTATCACTGTACATTGAATAAAAGTTTAACTTACAATGAAACTGTATCCACAGCTTTTGGGTACAAGGGAATTTGCACTTTAGACTTCTTTTAGTCCCTGCTAAGTTCTCTCTTCTTTTGACTCATTTGTTACTACTACTAATTTGGAGGGAGGGATCTCTTTGATCACTCAGATTTGGTCTCAGTGTGAAAGCTCTCTGTTGATCAGCTGTAATAAAACAACCCCCCCAGCTGGGTTCAGCACCTGGAAAGCCTCTGGACAGCTGAAAAACAGTGTCTTTACCACAAAGCACTGCTTAATCATCAAAGCCATCAGAGAAGATGTCGCCAGGCCTGTCCAGCTGGATCCTACCTGAACTTGGATGTTTCTTGGCCAGTTTTGGGTAAGGTCTGCACAATGCTGAACCCCTGTTGCTGATCTGAGAGAGAAAGGCAGTCCTGATGCTTCCTTCCAGCTGTCTGTTTCCTCCCTTTGCTCTCTGTCAGAGGTCTTTCACAGTTTAATGTTATTTTGATCATTGGCTGAAACCTGAGGCAGGCCGGTCTGCTGGCCTGGTTGGAGCCCAGCAGGCAGGAATTTCCCAGTTAAGATCTTTCCCAGCTTTCTTCACTGAAGGACTGTCTGCTTTCCCTGAGTGGCCTCTTCTGACTTCATGCCATTCAGTCAAACGAGATAGTACCCTGCAAGTTAATTGTGTAGAATATGAATTAAAAAACAATGCAGGTAGAACTCACACTTTCTACAGTCCTAAAATAGTCTAAAACTTCTGTATGTATTTTCTATTTAAAAGTGTATATATTATCCACTGCCTTTAATGTATTTTTGATGAAATGTTATGAGGCAAGTGGCTGTCTACAGTTTGAGTGTCAGAGTGCTACAGGACTTTATTCAAGTCTTATAACTCAAACTGACAAAGTCTTCAGGGGTTTCAGAGCATAGGCAAAATGTCTTGTATTTTTCTGTTTCGCTAATTCCCACCATGGCAGTGCATCATCCATTGCTTTCCCCAGGTAGCACTGTTTCTTGGGATCAAATAGAGTGGCAGTTAGAGATCTTGGTACACACGGACAAAGATCAGGCTCTTTCCATCCTGAAGAGGCAGGGAAGAGGGAGGACATATGCCTCCTTCTCCAGTGCTGACTTGTAAGGAAAGGAACGTATGTATGTGTATTTTTCTTAAGGGTAACCCAGATCACTCAAGAAGGCATTAAGTCTGTCTCAGCAGAAATGCCCCAGCGAATTCATCCCGCAGCCACCGCCTCCCTAAAGCTGGAAGGGTGCTGAGGAGCCTTTCACAATACCCTGGACTTGAACTAGGATCCCCTTGTTCGTGTTTGCCTCTGACCTTCAGAGCAGAAGGGGACAGGAAATGCTGAGATAAAATTGGTCCATGTAGTTAAGGACTCTGTCCCCACGTGTACGCACAGGGAGGACAACTTTATGTTCTGCCTATGACTTTTTAAATCTTGAGTGCCTAACCATGCCAACTTAATAGCGTTGTTTTTACATAGTTATTTCTTCAATGGTATAGGGAAAATTTATACCCTGTGTATGAGGAACATAACTAAAAGGTAGGTAGTTAAACAGAGCCTTCAATTTATGGATTTTAGTATTAAGGTTAAACACTTTAAAAAAATGCATAGTGTTCAAGTGAAATAAGGAATGCTGGGGGTGTTATTATATTTATACTGTAATTTGATTGAACATCGATGACCTCAGGAGATCTTTCATCTTTTGTCTACTGAACAACAAAAAAAAAAAGATAAATCTTGCTCTAATTTTAAACCAGAAAGCTCTCGGGATGTGCATCCAAAAGATTTCCCTGCAGTATGGTATTCTGTTATTGTGGCACAGCTTTCACCTGTACATGCTTGCTGGTTCTCCACTCATAATTAAGTACTTAATGTACTTTTAATCTGGCAGGGCTGTCTGCATTAAGGGCCCAGTATATCTGAAAATACAGTCAAGAACTTTGGGACTCATGTCCTTATTAATTCTGCAATTCTTTTTTTTTTTTAAATCTGCAACTCAGTATATTTCCATCAGTTTTCATAGAAGTTAGAAGAGTGGTGGCATACCAATTGCCTACAAAGAACTATGGAGATTAGGTAAGTGAGGGTTTTTGTGTCAGGTGGGCTCCTGCACTCTGTAATCTGTCTTATCAAGAGAATTACTCCCATGGGACTCTTCAGCTTTAACTAACAAATTCTGCTCTATGTAAAATGTGATGGTCTATCATTCTTTTCATGGAGGAGCTGTTTCTTCTGATTACGGAAGTGCTTAAAAGAAGGATGCATTGCAGGGCAGTCACACAGCGTAGCATCCCGTTGAGATTTGTGAGGATCAAGTGTGTGCACTGTATGCATTTCATTACAAAATCATGGCCTTAGCAACCAGAAGCACCCTGTGCTTGAAGTTTCTAAGCATTGGTTTTCAGGCTTGCAGTACGATATATGTTGAAATGATTTGTATTCTCTTAAATGCTGGTACTTAGTTATTTAACCATTACTTCAGAAACTGAGGATATGCAAAGAAAGTCAGGACATTTGCTCACTGTTAAACTTGTTTTTGTCTCGCTATGCGCTTAAGTATTCAGGGATTTCTGTGTACTTACTACAATAATGTATTTTGGGCAGTGTTTTACTAGAATCTGCGCTATTCATGTATTAATTGAACAGAGCCTCCCATACAGGGGTTCTTTCCTAATAAGTACATCTGAGTAGCCTCTGGTACTGTTAAGTGGGAGTAGTGTGTATATGCACACACTTGTGAATTTGACTTTAAGTACCCTATGGTGAGGGGATGTGAATGCACAGCTTGACAAAATGTTACTGAGTACGCACATGCAAGTGAAGGCGATCGTACAAATCATGCAAAAATGCAGCACTTGAAGATTAGTTACAGCTCTGTGCCCTACTATCCAGGACGTAATTGTGCCTCGGTACCTGATACTGTGTTGGTGTAGAGACTGAAAGCTTGGGTACTTGAGGTGTGCACCGCAGACCATTCAGATAAGAAGAGCAGTTACGCGTGTGCACGTATCTAGGAGCAGAACTGAGCTCTTGGTGTCCATATTGCTCATAGTTAAAGGCATGATCCTGAAGAATGCTAAAAATATTTGCAGTAAGCCTTTGAGAGCTGTTCCGTGGCTTGGTCAGCTCCTCAGTTTCCTGCTCTAAGATTGCAGCAGTCTGATGTATTAGGTATTTGTACAATCATCATAGTTAATATTTCATGTAACCTAGTGTAAGCCTCCTTGAATTATTCCAGGATAATTCTAATAATCTGCAGTTGCATATACCTGTACTATAACCAGAAAGTTTACAGACCTTAGAAGCTTTGTGTAATTTTGATGGATGATCCAATAAGGTAAGTCAAGGGACATTCACTAGATTTAAATGAAAAACAGCTGTTGTTTGTTTTTAAATAAAATTTATGTATATCTGTTTAATTGAATTATTTTTTGCGCCTTTCTTTTCCTGACAGTTGTGATGGTACTGATCACAAATTATAGTAAGATATATACGTTTAAGTGAAAATGTAACTCTTATTATGCCATACTTCTACAGGTAACATATCAAATTGCATTTCCTTGACAAAAGCTGTATTTATGAATAAGATGCAAGTATGTGAAGTAAGTTTTGCCATTAATAAAAGTGTGACAATGTCATGCTAATGATATACATTGTCCTAAGAACTACCAGTGTGGATCAGAACCAAAGATGTTTCTAGCCTTGTATCCTGCCTCCAGCAGTGGCCACCAACAGATGGTGTGAAACAAAGAACAGATAAGGTGACCCCATTTTTCTCCAGGAATTTTTCCATTTTTGAACTCACGGTTTCTTTCAGCCTCCACAATCCCTTGTGGCTGTGAGTTCTGTGTTTTAATTACGTTTTGTGTGGAAAAAGTAATCTCTTTTTTTGTCTCAGATCTGTTTATTCAAGAATTGCTAGTGCATTTGAACACAGTTACTAAAGTTACTGTAAGATGCACAGTAATCCGCTTCAAGTCAGTTTTTAAAAGCCGTGGGAGATTCTAATGATAAAATACCTGCTTAGGCAGAAAATGTCCTATATTTCTGTTCTTAGGCAGAAGATGTCTGCTCAGGCAGAAAACTTGTCCTATGTTGTTGACAATATTATCTTACTTGTCCCTTCTGAATAAATTTTTACACATGAATCCTTTTGTATATAGTATTAAAAGTCAGATTCCAACCGCAGAACAGAGGGTTTTTTTTTTTCCTATCGGTGTAAAAGGAAGATCAGTCAAAGACAAAACCTATTCCTAGCCCACATCTGAGTGAGGTACCTCTGGATTTGGAGACACCAGCGTCAATGGGTGTAATGTTGTGATCGCG